GTGGCCGATTCGATATATTTTAGAAGCTAGAGCAATTTTAGTAACCTATCATCGAGCAGAATCGAACTTTGAAGCGCGTTTTCTCGAGTTTTTTATTTATATCAGTCTGAAAAATTGCGCTGGTGACTGTTCGATTGAAAAAATTCAAATCTAGCTTCTGTATTAAATTATATTCTGTTTGAACTAAAAGATAATTTAAAATATTTTTTTTTGCAACTTGAAGTGAATTTTTTTTCTAAAAAGTAATTTTTTTTCAAACTGGAAAAAATTTGGAATTTTCCTACTTCTTTGGTATTTTTTTAGTTAAAAAAAATTAAAAAAATTAAATTTGGTTGAACTGTTGCAGATTCCTCCATTCCCGGCACCGTTTCACTAGTTCAGAAAACTCATCACGACATTAGAAAATCTTAATATTGTTTGAAGTTGTACAAAAGTATTATTTAAACAATTTTTTTTAAGTGTATTTTTTTTTTGGAAAAAATTTGGAATATTCCTATTTCTTCGGTATTTTTTTTTAGTTAAAAAAAAATTAGAAAAATCGTAAAAAAAACTTGGTTCGACTGTTTCAGATTTATCGCACAAACTCCATCACCGACTCCGTTTCATGAGTTCAGGAAACTCAACACAACATTGGAAAATCTCTATATTTTTTGTTACTAAAAATTATGTTTTGAAGCTTGAACATAGTAAACTACTGTCTGAAAATTATGTTTACCGCAATAATTTCCTTCCATTTAAAAAAAATTCGAAAAAACGATTTTTTCGGCTTCTAAAGGAGTCTACTGCCTTAACAGCTTGCTTTTCACGGGAACCTGGTCAAACGAACTTAGGGCCCGTTGTGAATCCTATGTTGGTCTTGATAAAGCGATTACTTTCATCTTTCCAAATGTTTAAATCACTTAGATTGATTGTGAAGTTGTCCTGCAAGCTCTGCAATGCAATCGAAAAAGAAAGGATGATAACGAAGCGCACGTTGATATCCGAGCTGTGACAGAGGTAGTGTCACATCAACTCCTACTCATGCGGCAGAAGTTGCTTGAGTAGCAGCCCATCCTTCTACGATGAGTCCCAAGAAGATAGCGATATTACGCCATTTTTTATGCTTATAGCTGTTCGGTTTAGAAGAAGTAGAAATTAAGTTCTGTTAATCTCAATTAATGGCCAGATTGACTTGTCACAATGCAAGTGGTTGCGCTCTGCCATCTGCTGTTGACCTAGTTGCTGAATGCGGTTAGTCTTAGCAGATAGTTTGGCGGAGAAAGCTGTATGCCCAGCTAGCCTTAAAACCTGCTTAGAGCACTCATTCGCTGTAACAATTGTGAAGAGCCGGAACCCTCAAATATGTTCCTGACGCAACAATGGAATAGTTATCCTGTACTTTCTTCATGCTACGGAACAACGGCTAACACTTATCATCTCCAACTTTCCATGCGAAGCTCACCTTTAAGCTCAACCCAATACACTTACAAGGTAAAAAAGAATAATTATCATCCCTAATTTTTCCTATGGCGTTAATCGCATAACCTTTTTAAAAACCAAGTGGATTTATAAATAAATTCAAAAACTAATAATATCCTCCCCCTACCACTCCAGGTTTAGAGAAATTTGGAGCGTTTATTGCCGGTATTTCATTTCCTATTGTTCCAGCACTGCGATACTAAGCTTGATATATTTTCAATAATGGAATCAAGTCTGTGCGAACTTGCCAACATACATAAGCTACAGCATTTTCATCGCCATATGCATTTACTTCAACCCCATCAAATCAGTATCTGCGAGCAAAGACAGATGATTTTTAATGTTACTGAAATGTAGTTGTATTTCAGATTGTCTCCTGGTAAGATCTTTAGCCAGCAGGATAGTTATAAGTTATTGTGCAGCTGCACAGGGATGATTCCTTTTGGTACACAAGTGAAACACGAGCTGAAGATCTCAGTTTCATAGGTAACCAATTTTTTGAAATATAAATGTAAGTATGCCGTTAGGTCTAGAAATGTAGGAGAAGTAATGCCCGAAATTTTGCAGACTCTGCTGAGTTGTTGCAGAAATCTCTAACTGAAGATCTTTTTGCCGTTATGAACACTTCTTTTATAAATTTTGGGTACCTCCTTGTATGCATCCCAGTGAAGATCTTCACATAAACCACTGGCATTATGAAAAGTCCACTGCGCGATTTTTAGAGATTGTACAATTCTTTACACTCATTACGACTTTTATATGCCTCGTTTTATTCGCACAGAAAACGTCTCTTCCAGATTCTTACAGCAAGCTCTAGTGAATGATATTTTCCAGGAATAATGCAAAATCTGGATCGAGAGTGGCTAACAGGTTATCAAGGCAATATTTATAAGTCTCTTTGAATTTCTATGATTTCTTTGTGTATCTGTACGAATATGGCTTAGATCTAGAGCAATTAGGAAGGCTTATTTTAATTTATTTAAGAGATATGCCATATTTTCGATATATACTAGTATACATAACTGACTCCTTGTAACCTCTGTAGCGGGTTTCGGCGGATCTCTTTCTATATTTTTGCCATGTGCGTCTGACGTCATTCCTACAAGTAGAGGGATCTATAGTTTCTTCTGAGTCGCTTTCGCAAGACCGTTTGATTTTTAGCTTTTTTATTTCATATCAGAAATACCGTCATAGAGCTTGACAGCTTCCGCGGAGGTTGTCGAGAACTTTGATTTTTTGGTTTTATACAATATAAGCGTGACTGTATTTCTACCAATTTGCAATGAATTTTATGATGGTAAAATAGATAAATTAACGGAGCTCAATAAACTAATCTCGTCTCTCTGCATACATACTTTCGAGCAAAAAAGTATGTTTCATCACTAAAAAGTTTTGTAAAAAAAACTTATTTTCTAAATTACTTAAATAAATAATGCTACTTATTTGACTTAATTTTATTTGTTATGAGGTATGAGGTCGTCTGTGCTGTATGTCCTTAAGCTAAATTTCTGTATGGTCTCCACCCCGTTACGGGCCATTAAGGCAGCAGTCTCCTTCGGAGTCCATAACGCATTTTTTCAGCAATTTTTTTGATAGCGAAGGAAGTTTTTGCGGTGAATGAAATTTTCAGACAGTAATTTACTATATTTAAAATTTTTAGTATCAAAAATATTGGATTTTTTAATTTTGCGATGAGTTTCCGAAGTGGCTGCAGTCTGAACTCATGAAACGTTGTTACGTTGATACAGTCGAACCACGTTTTTTTTTAATTCTTATAAGTGTATTTTCAACATGAATTTAAAACTACCGAAGATGTTTGAAAATTTCAAATTTTTTCGAAGTTTGTAAAAAATCACTTTATAGAAGAAAAAAATCTAATTTCAAAAAAAAAAAATTATTTTGATAACATTTTTGTATAATTTTTTTTAGCTCAAAAAGAAGAAAATTTAATACTGAAGCTAGATCACTTTGATTTATTTTCTATCAAATATACATATGTGTATCTGTTTTTTTTTGCCTTCAGCGTCAACGTTTTTTAGGACTGGTAAAAATGAAACCTCGAGAAAACGCTCAATAAAGTTCTTCGATCCCGCTCTACTTTCGGCCACTAAAACTGCTTCTAAAATATATAGAACTGCCACCTGAAATTTCGAAGACATATTCTTGGGTAGTTTTAGAAGAGATAAAAAAAAAATGCATTTTATAAAACCTCTAAAGCAAACTGCTGCCTTAAGCCCTTCAAGCCTTTAGTGGTTTTGGCGCCTCATGGACGGCTAAGTCGAGAGACGGATAGTGCTTTTAGTGATCTCATCAACTGTTTCATTTTCGGCAATGTGATTAACTTAAGATCGGCTTCAAATGTTCAAAACTCATATTTCTCTTAGATCTAGAGATTTCCTGGGCAGATAATTACTTGTTGGTCTGATAGTCTTTAAACAAAATTTGTTCAGTGATTGCGTCGTTTTTAATTGTATAATATACATAAGTGTTTTAGCAAGATATGTGAAATTTTTGTAATAAATATTTCATGAAATATGTACAAGAATTTAGTTAAAAAAAAAATGAGAAAATTCCCTTCGGGTCTTCAAATAAAAAACGAACGAAGAGTACATATAAAGACACCATAGAATATTTTCACAACTGGAATGCTAAAATAATGTCCAAACAAAATAATAGTACCAACTGTAATTGCATGCCAAAAACCAACAACGGAAAAATGTCTAAAAGAAACAATAACAGTAATTGCAGGCATAGAACAGAAATTGTTTGAAATGAACTTGGTATGAATGAATGTGGGCAAACACCTGTCAACAATGGCTAAACGGATGAATTGCATGAAGATACTATGTACATATGTATATATGTATGTATGTATCTATGTGCATAATGCTTCAAATGCAATGCGAATATGTACAACAATAACAACAAACGAGCAAACAAACAACGGTGTATTAAATAAATAGTGAAGGAAACAAAATAAACAAATCAACGAATAAGTGAACAGGAACAACGAGTGAACGAGTGAACGAACCAACAAACAGACAAACCAACAACAATTAAATAAATGGCAAACAAATATTTATTTACATATATTTTTTTTTATTTATTTATTTTTTTTTTTTTTTGGTTTGATTTTAAACGAGTTAAATTTACCAGAAGAAGTAGCAGGAAGAAGCGTTAAAAGAGTGAGCAGAAAAAATGAAGGAAAAAATAGTGAAAAACACTGTACGTTGCTGACAGTGCCAGTTTGCTGAATGCTCTTCACGTGCTTCTCTCCTCGACGTTCGGTTGTACTGTTAGGCAGACAAAGCTCACAGCTTACAGGTCGGTTGATGGTCCGCAAAAAGCAACTGAAAGCCTATCAACGGACCTGCGCTTTATTATTTCAACAGACAGCTTGAGTGACTGTTTGCCTGGCAGTTTGACCGAAAATCCTGTTCATTTTTTCATCACTTTTCCCGCCCTTCATTTTTCTCGTTTTGTATGTATTTGTATAGACATTTCCACTATTTCCTTTACTTCGCGTTCGACTAACAGCTCACCTGTAAATTGCTCAGCAGTGCCTGAAAGTACGGCATTGCTAGCAGTATATTGACACGACTACCGCCATTGCTGGCGCTTGCGGATTTCGTCGCCCCACCGGCGTTGACGCCACCATTTTCGCCGACTTGCTGCACTAATTGCGACTGCTAAGCGATGTTGCCGAGTTGGAAGGAATTAGTTAATGACGACGGGACGAATAGTGGTGGAGAAAGAGAGAGAGAGAGAGAAAGAAAGAAAATATATGCAATTAGTTTGAGTGAAGAAAAAAAAAAAATACGAAATTCAAAAGCAATATCTCTGCTGCTTGGTATGAGAGAACTTTAAATGAAAAAACCTGGCGTTGAAATGAAAAATTGAAAAAAAATTTATATACATAATTGACGAGCGAATCGCTCAGCGTAGAGAAAATGAGTGTACAGAATAAATATTTGAACTGTTTGAAATGAAGTTACAAAATAGACAACACCGCTTCAAAATCAAGTTTTACGAAAGGACCCAAAAAAATGTAAAACGAAAGAAAAACGAGTAAATTACAACCAAATAAATTGCGCTTGGCACAAATAAAGCGACAACATAACAAATGAGTTACTCTTTTTCTCATTTCACAAAAATGTTGAACAAATTTTTTTCCACTTATCTGCTCCCTTCACACCCATTCAACGAAGGATGAAGGATGCAGCACGTGCACTTGCCAACCACAGCTCTTTGCACATAAAAGACACACACTCACACAATCCGAATAACTGGATTGGGAAAATCTGATTATAAAAGCAATTCAACATTCCGCCATGAGTGCGCTTGAGTAAATGCTGGCCAAAGCATAGGTATGCTAGTGCAAGTGCAATGCGGAGTGACATGTTGGAGCAAACGAAGAGGAAAACTATCAAATTACGTAAAGTTGATAAACATTGTTGTCCACAATATCCGTAAATCCAATATATTCACACAAAGCGCTGTACCAGCACTTTAACCAAAGGTGTGCTTTTTCGTGTTGTTAGATATAATAAACATGAATTTCAGCTTTAGATATGCTGCGGCATTTTTTTAAAGCCGAAAATTAGATAAGAAAAAATGTTAAAAAATTAAGGTAGTTAATTCAGACTTTTAAGGATATCTATGAAGCTCAAAATATATAACCAAAAGTCAGTTAAATCAGTTTATTTAAAAGTGTGCCACATACTAAGCCCTCAGTGCTTTCATTGAAAAATTTTTTTTGGAGAGAAATCATTACGCTAATGTTCGAAAACAAGTTTTTTGTAGAAAAAAACATTTTAATACAGAGTTTTCCAATAAAAGGTGTTATTTTGATATACGAAAATGAGATAAATGATTGCATGTTTATTTCACTACAAAGCAATAGATATGCCATTAGTACTGAAAGACAATATCAGACGAATGGTCGCCAGGGCTGCGCTTACAAGACTGTATCCTTTTTATGAACTTCTCCATCAACGAATCCGAAAGTGGCTGCTGTATATAAAGTTCTGGAATCGAAGTTGGCCGGATATCGTAGACCTTATCTTTCATGTGGCCCCAAGGGAAGAAGTCGCAAGGTATTAAATTGCAAGGTCTCAGTGGCCAAATGTGACTAGCTCTTCGGTAGACGACAGGGAAACTTTTACCTGAAAAGATCAATGGTTTCGTTGCGTAAACGTAGTCTCGATCAATACCATCCGATTCCGTTAATAAAATATCATTAAAATATTAATTTTTTGGTAGTGCAATCGAGTCACCCTAACAGTTACTCCAGCCTCATTTTCGAAAATGTAAGGTCCAATGACCCTACCATATACCGAAACCAAACAGTTATACGTTGAGGGTGGAGAGACTATTCAGCAATAAATTTTGAGTCTTCCGAACCACAGATGGGAAAGTTGTGCTTACTGACGTAGCCATCGAGGATTATTCAAGATGATTTTACGATGAAATCCCGGTTCATTTTCATGCATTTAAAGGATGCAATCAGCAAAGACAAGATGTTATCGATGTTCCGCTGGCCTGACTTCTTGTGATAATTGAATTTTATAAGTCTTGAGATCCAAGTCTGTATGCAAAATACGGTGTAATGATGTTTTTGGAATGTCAAATTCTAAATAACAATGAGGAATCGACAAACTTGGTTTTTTTTCAACACTTTGAGTTACATCTCCCATATTCTCAGTTGTTCTTGAGTGGCGTTTACGTGTTTTATTCTTCACATCACTAGCTTGTCCCAACAACTCCTATTTTTCACAAATTTCTGTACTGCGATCTGACAAAGAGCTTCAGGATGATTGAAAAATTACTCAGTTTTACGAACCGTCTCTGCCAGGTTGTCACCATCTTTGTAATTTCAATGGGTTGTTGAAGTACATTTCGTTTCACTTAGCTTTTACTAGACAAAAAGTTACAGCTTCCACAGTGGCCTCTACCGGGATAGCAGGCTATTCAAAATAACACCTCTTATTAGAAAACCCTTTATATTTTATAGTGTGCCAGATACTGAGTTTTCAGTGCTTTCATTTCCTTAGAAATATTAAAAAAGTCTCTTGATTCATTAAGTTAATGTTCCAAAACAAGTTTGTCGTTAAAATTTAATTAATATTTTTAAATTAATTTTTTTTTGAACATTTCAAGAAACCGGCTGACAGTAAAAACATGCGAATAAGTGGTCTCAATAGTACTTTTTTATATCTTTTTTTATATTTAATTTTTTAATTGTTATTATTTTTATAGCCATTATTTCCAAGAAACTGCTGGTGGGAGACAGAAGAGATGTTTAAATCTTTGCTTTTTTTTTCAAAATAAAAAATGAGTGTCTGGCACACTTTATTGTTATTTACATGTTTGTTAAAGTTAAAAAAATTTATTAAACTTAAACCAAAGAATATTTACTTCTTCCCTACGTTTGTTCTTTTTCTGTTAAGTTGTAGCAACTTGAGTACTCTCAGCTATTACTTAGATACAGAAATTGAAATTTTTAATGTCTTTGGTTTTTGCTTACCTCATTTTCCATTATTGAGCCATCGGCATTTAGTGCTTGTTCACTTTTAGACCTTCGATTACTATCACGTGCACCTTGTTGCTTGCGACGATTGTTTTGTGAACTGAAAAGAGAGAATATTTAGAAATGATTTAACGATTTATCTTTCTTCTCTGAGTTCTAAAATAAAGAAATTCATATTTGTAGTTGGGAAAGTGGGTAGGGTGGTAGACATAACTCTTTATCTATCCTCATAACCCTGTGCTGGATTGTCACATGGGTTAGGTTAGGTTGAAACGAGTGTTGGGCAACAGCTCATTGAAACTATCACACCCGCCCAATGTTACTTTACTGGGGATCCTAAGAACCCCATTTGCTGGTCAAGCAAGTGCGTGCAATTTGCAAGAACGAGCAATCGACGTATCATTTCAAGCGCTATTTCTCTCAAATCTAAAAAACTTGACGACCTTAGAGCTTTCAATGTACTGCTACAAAGTACCTTAGGTATTTATGATGTTTCTCCTCACTGCAACTTCTGCAGATGACGTTTGATCAGACGCTCTGCCTTGCTGCTTGTTTTGGTGTCATTCTTTTATTCCATTTTAAGTACATCATCGTAACCGAACTGCAACTATTGATATTTTTTAATTTTTAGTTAGCTTCCGCGATAGATGCCCCTCTCATAATGAGCTTATAAGAGAAGAGCGACATGTGCTATGATGGCGAAAGGGGAGAATATGTATGTTTCCTTACAAGCCAGTCCAAAAACGCGTACCTGTGATTTTAGTCTTCGCGCTAATTGATATATCACAATTCTTTACAGCTACCAACTTTAGTTTTACAGATAGCCGAAAAGCAATGGATACAATATACTGAGAGTACCATTAAGCCAAGATAATTGAAAGCCTCACATATATCTGCCTATTTACTTGAGAAACATGATCCGGAAAACGGAAAAAAATTTTGATCTCTTGAATGGACTCTGACGCCAAGTCTCTCATGTAGATTGAACCAATCGGTATAAAGATAAAACGAATCTATATAGCCTCCTTGTAATATTTCACGAAGACAGCGAAGGTTATGAAAAAGCCCGTCCCACGGAGCTATTTTAAAATATTAGTATGACCTTAGTTTGCCATTCCTCATTCAGGCATCTTACCGCAGCAAATGCCTAATGATGCATGTCTATAATTTTCATGGCGCGTAGGTCCAAGAGGAAATTTATGCGCTCAGTTTTTGTGGTTCCCTCCTATTATGCATAAGAATGGTGTCACTCTATAGAACTTAGATTTTTTCTCGAGTGCTCGGCGCTACTATTTCATGTGGCATGATTCATTTTCATTTACGAGTGTAAAACAATCTTTACACATCTGTTTCTGCAAGTTCTGCGACCAGATTAAGTTTTTTCCAAATGCTTTTTCAGAGTTATTAATATGCAGCTCTCTGACTGAGAGCATTTGGTAGCAGATGAAAAATTATCTTTATCCCTTTAACATTTTTACTACTCTTTAAACATCTTCTAAAGAGAGATTCTAGGCAAGCCGAAAGTTGTTTTGGGAGACAGTGGTCTGCCGAAACTTCTATAGTTTTAGGGATGCAAGTATGCGCCATGCAGTCTGGCTACATCCAAGTTTGTTGTAGTTTACGACGATTTACGAGCTAAGTTCTGGTGTCTCTCGGCTGCGTTATTACTTTTTGTACCAATTTACATATTACAAACGCACTCACTTCTGTTTCTGACAGTTCATATTTGCCGCGTCTTACCTGGCAAGTTCGTTTAGCTTCCCTCTATTTCTCGTTGTCGGCGAACCTAAATATAAGAGAACCGTTTTACTCAGTCCCCTGCTGAAACAACAATAGCAAAAAAGGTAAGAATACAAGACCGAGTTTTATCTCCACTTCTGAGGACTTTAGTTGTATTAGGTCTCTAAGGCAAGGTTTAATATACATTTTTCCCTCATTCCTTCTACAAGGTTGGAGAGGATTAAAAAGAAGAAAAAATAATAACAGAATGAAGATAGAACCACGATTTGGAGCAACATGCCTAAGCGTCATCTTTGTCAACAGAGTTGCATAGAAAAAGCACTTGTTCAACACTATTAGTAATGCAATCAACGCCGGTAGGGGTAGGCAAGTGGTTAGCATTGCGTACTGACATTCAGAAGGCCTGCTGCGACCAACATCTTAAAGTTATAGAAAAATAATTTAAATAAAAAAATTAGGTTATTTTTTCTGATTGGGGTAAAACTCGGTAAGGATTGTCAACCTCTCCAAGTGAATTTCTGACAGGAAATAAAGGCTCCTCAAAAAAAAAAAAAAAAAATTAGTAGTCGTTCAGGCGCCCCAGTATAAATTGTTGGTTCCTTCATTTGTTTGAATAATATCAAGACGCAAAACCAGAATTTGGAGGTGGAGCTCGGCTAAAAATCGCTTCAGTAGTTATAATCAAATTTCTAATAGTGAGATTCATAATAAGTACGGTGAGCACAATAGACCAAGTCATTATAAAGATCTTCTTCACTACATATCTATAAGCCGGTGATAAATCCTCGTAATACTTCCCATTTCATATCGATGTTATATCTACTCTATCGGCCTTTAACGTTGGGTGAACTCTTCTCGTTATTTCTGGTTTGTCATTTTCCTCTAGCTCAATATTTTCTTTCGTATGTGTTTGATGATGATGATGTTTTTCAAAAAATTTGGGGACATACAGTTTATTCTTAGCCACCTCCGTCAGAAATACAATCGGAGAGCCTGACATTCCCTGTAGAGGAGCGAAGGCAGTTCGGAAATTTTACTTAATTTTTTATTTAAGTTAACTTTCTATAATTTCGGTTGTGGGTCGAATAGGGACTCGAAAGAAATTTCGCCTTGATTTCCAGCTAGCCTGATCTTTTTCTCCAAATTTATGTAGAATTCATAGCAAGTGACCTGTAACATGACCTGCGCTGTAACCTATTGTGGAATCGTAACCAAACGGATATTAGAAGCGAATATAGTGTAAGGTTCCATAGCATTGGAGAGAGTATGTATATTTGAGGCCTTCCTTAGTAGAGAGATTTGGAAATTTTGTTTGAATCTGTTAAGGAGCTTCTTGCGTAAGTTGTAGTTAGTCTGGCTTCAATGTAGCCGCATAGGACAACCGCTCTGTTGTGCCACTAAGCAGAGGATTTTGGAGAGTATGTCAATGACTTCAACGTTTTATAAATCATAACATTTTGCTGCCTTTGCATATATATATATATATTGTATATCTTTAAACTTTACCCACTTTAATCTTAATGGCTTACATACATTACCAATTTCATGACAGGTTTTTGTGAGATTTTCAAATTTCGCACATTCAAAACTCCACTGCTCTAATAAGTTTGCTTTCCAATACTAAATTTTAAACTTTTTTTTATTAATTCCATTATTTTCTCATATGCACTGATTCCCTATTGCACACTCAAAACTCGAACTACCTAACATACTTTACTTTACTTCGCCAGCAGAATGACAAGGGATAACAAGAGGCGAGCATCGAATATTGCGGAGCAGGAGAAAGTACAAAGTACACAAGCTGAAGCTCTTCTTCCTCCCACTGAAGGTATTAAAAAATGATGAGATTGCAGCAAGCAAACGAAACGAAGCCAAGTAAATTGAATTGACAGTGGCACGAGGAGGTGAAGAGGTAGGTGAGTGAGCTAAGAAGTGATAAAAGCTGTAAAGCGGATAAAATTTTTTGACAATATTTAGGTGACAACATTTGCTCTTTGAAGCTCTTCGGAAAGGGATTGAGAGCATGGAAGTAATAGTGTGGTAGAGCAAATATGAAATTGGTTATATGTATGTATATTTGAATTGTATACGTTTGGGTATTGTGCATAAGTGCGTTAGTCATAAATACGAATTTCAAAATATATGAAATCGTACAAATCACTCCTATTTCACAAATTTTTGTTATGCGGCTGGAGAGAACTTGCTATTCAAGATATATGTGATGCGTGACATTGTTTTTTTTTTTTTTTTTGAATGTTTGAGGTATTGCCTAATTAGGCACCCTTTATGTTGTTGTGCAAATGTATATGTGTGCATCATCAATGTTGGTAATTTTAAAAGCCAAAATTTATATTTGTTCCTCCATTCGATGACAGAAGACAAAGGTCAACTACATGTGAAGCAATTTATAAGAAACAAAGGAATATCCTGCCGATTTGAAAGGTTGGTGCTTTCCTCAACCGAAACACTGATATGCACATATGTAAAGAATTGCATTTTCAGGCTCAATGTGCGACAATTTTACTTTGCAGAGTAAATAATCTCGCATATATCAGAATTTATAACTCCCCGGCGACCAAGAGTTCATCAACAGACAAGTAGCAGGAACTATTGCTGACTGGTGAGCAGTCGGGTGTATATGCCTCATATTTACTTATTCGGAGTTATCCACTATAGATATACCAGCTGTGACTGGTTTCCTAATAAAATTCATTGACTGTAGTCGCACTAGTCCCTAAAATATCAAAAGAGTACGAGGGAATTAACGAAAGTTCGGTCAGTTGATGACTTGCAATTTGTTTTTGTTAAATCTGAAAACACCAAATACTTTGTAATTACTTAGTTAGTGGCACTTTTAAACTTTAAAACGTTCGGCTGAAATGGAGACGAGAAAACGTAAGAAATCTGAGGATAGATCCGACGAAAGTCCACCACCAACGCAAAGACAAATTCGCCATGTGATTATCTTCGGGTTTCGGCGGTTAACTTACAGCCCTTACAAATATATACTGATTGCCAAATTGCATATGGAACGATTGCAACGTCTTTAAAGCTTATTTCTAAGTGGTGCCGAAGATTCCAGACCGGATATTTTTTCGTAGAGAACGAGCCACATGTAGTCTTCCACTGATGACATCACTGTGCACTGATGACATCACGGTGCAGTCCCAGACTGACGAAGAATGAAATGGTCTCGAATACAATGGCAGTATTGTAAATGTAAAGTAATCATCTGGGATACACGAAGAAATCTGCTCGATGGGTACCACGAATTTGAATGAGTCTCGAGTACATTTTGATCAACTTTTCCCAAACAAATTCGAAAATGGTTAGTATGGCAATTTTAGTAAAGTCGCTACTGGTGACGAATCTTGGTTCTATAAATACGATCCAGAAACAAAACAGCAGTCCATGGTATGGACCCCAACAGGAGCAAACCCACCCGTAAAATCTAAAAAGGGTCAGACGGCAACTACAAAATAGTACGCCGAAGAGTGCTTTCTAAAAGTTTTATGAAATTTGTTGCAAAACAGGAAGAAAGAGGATTTGCGGCGCTACTTTTTACATCATGATAACGCGTCAACAACACCTGGCTGAAATAACGAATAATTTTATTGGAATCCTTGGGATCGAAGAAATACGTCCAGCACCATATTCCTCGGATATTGCACCAAAAATCACGGTTATGTCCAAAAATTAAAAAAAATTTTAAAGGAGATAATTAATGCGGTTAATGCTGAACTTGATAAGCTTAAAAAGCAAGATTTTGAGGACTATGTTCAGAAGTGGATCTATATTTATATGCGTTTTGATCTCATGAGGGAAAAGTTTCCATGCCGTGTTACCTCTCGAATAGGTGATAGCAATTGGCCACTGAGACCTTGTTATTTAACTCCTGGAGTCTTTTTCTTTTGGGGCCATATGAAAGTTGAGGTCTACTCCAACAGGACAGTGTCGATCCCAGAACTCAAAGATGGAATTTTTGAAGCTATTGATTGTATACCGTAGCCAATTTCTAAAACGATGATGGAGGAGTTCATAAAAAAGGATACAGTCTTGTAAGCGCAGCTCTGGCGCCCATTCGTCTGATATTGTTTTTCATTATTAATGACATATATTTCTCTTTAAATTGAAATAAATATCTGATTATTTATCTCAAAAAATACCATTGAATGTCAAAATAATACCGGTTTTTGGAGAACCCTATTTAATCAACATGAGAACCGGTAAATGCTAACACAGATAAAAAGATGTAAATCATCTTTCTTCAACTGCTATTTAAAATGTAGATGCAATGAAACTTTTTAGCTTACCTGCTAGAATTTTCTGCGGCCGTTATCATATCAGCGGATGTTAAAGCTTCTGTACCTTCCCGCACCAAACGCTCTGAAATAAAAGAAATAAATTTAAATAAAAAATAAATGTACAAAAATATAATACAACAATAGTAAAAAGTATACTCTACATGTCTATGAATTATGGTTAGATGGAAAAAAGACAGAAGAACTGCCTTTGGCCATACCGAAGTATTTATGCATATTCCTGACGCTCATACAAAAATTACGGTATTTCATTTTAGGATTAAATGCCATAAGTTCAAGAGGACTATATCATGAAGTTTTTCGGTTTCGCTGCTTTTCGATGACCTAGACTCTTTTTTGACGGAATGACATTCGATTTATGTCAAATGCCATTTTGGAGGTAATGTCGTTAAGCTTTTGTCAAAAAAACTCTTGTCCCTATTGGAAAAAAATTGGGCGAATTAATTTTCACGGCCTTCTCTTGAGGTCAATTCTTCAACAGTCAAGAACATAGATAATCATTTGGGGTGAGGAACGGACTGTGAACTAGATGCATAAGAGCCCGGGAGCTACTCGATGTGTGTGCTCTGGGATTATTCTTATGAAACAATATACTCCTCCTGTTGTTCATCTAGTTTAATTCAATGGCATTTATAGAACGCATGATACAGATCTCTAGAGGCAAATATAGTAACAATATTACTTTTTACTAAACCTTAAATATGTGCGGGATATCGAATTTCACGTAGTTTGATACTTTATTGACAAATCTATGACGAAAAATCTCAAAGCCAAAAAATCGGTCCATCTGCCCGGTACCGACAAAGGATCGAGGAAATGTACTAGTGCATTTATGTACAAAGTTTGGTTGAAATTTCTCAAAAATTGATGAAATAATTTGCGTACGAACTGACTCAACTCAACTCGACATTCTGAACTAATGGTTATAAATTTTAGTGGGTCTTCCTCTCCTCCATGAAAGGTTAACAAATAAACCAGTAAATAAATTATGAAAGGTAAAAATTCTGCCTACATTTGAAATTTAAAAAATACAGTAAATAAAAAAAGTAGTTACCTGATTCCTGTAATTTCAACTCTTCCGGCTGTTGGCCGGGCTTCGCCTTCACATCAATAGTAATCTCGGCCGAACTGTGTCCCGCATGACAAGAATATACACCAGCATCGCGGAATGTTATATCCAAAATACGGAGAGCGCCTTTTTTGGAGACTTTAAATTTACGTGAACGCGCCAAAGCCTTATGATCTTTACTCCACTTAATCTTTGTACGATTGTAACGTTTCACGGGGCACTTAATTTTCACCTGCGTGCCAAAGAACACCACACCGGCACCACCAACCTTAAGGGTAATTTTCGTCTTTTTCGGATCGTGTTGTATGTGCGTTGTATTGCTGACTTGTATGACTGGCTTGGGATCTTCCAGCGGACATGGCTTCACATTGCAAGGTTTCTTATCTGGCGGTTTTGCACTCGGACACATTGATTCCGGTCGCTCGATTTTATGCTCCTGCGCCATAATTTGTTTACACTCAACTTTGCGCTCCTTAATGCCATAACCGCATGTGTGTGAGCATTTCGACCATTCACCGACCTCCCAACGCACCGGACAGTCGAGCACATTACAATACTGACGATCAGCTGGTGGTGGCTGTGGACACATGCTATTCGGCACGACCATAGTATTCTCGCCGCCACGCGTCACTTCATGTATACACTGCACTTCGCGCGTTTTAATACCGATGCCACATGATTTCGAGCAGGGCGTGTAATCGGAGTAATTCCAACGTGGCGGGCATGGTCGATCATTGCAGGTGCGCACACGTGCTTCGGGCTTTGTCTCGGGAGTACAAAGGAATGGCGATACCACGCGGCCATTGTCTTCACGCACACAATTTATAATTAACTCCTCTACGCCACCTAAGCAGCTTGCGCTGCACGATGTGTAACCTTGCTCACGCCACACATAAGTTTTACCCGGCTCAGAGACGCCCACTTTGATGGAGTCGCGTAGGTATTGATCATCGTATGTATGCGAGGGGAGCATACATGGCTCTTCGACGCAACGCTCAACCTCATCGTGCGGTTTGATGCCCTCGCAGAGTGAATCATTGACGGTAGCAATTGTGCGTGAATATTCGAGAAAGACTTTGCAGCGGAACATACGACGGCGCACACCCTCGCCGCAAGTGACGCTGCAGGCTGACCACTCCACGTCTTTGACGAAACTGTAAGGAGAAAGACAATGGAAAGTTAGAGCCACGAGTCACAGTAAATATGTTTGCTGCTTCGTTTTATATTTGTAGTGCCTTTCAATTGAGACTTTATATCGATTTATGTCATGATTTTCTATATATTTGCCACAAGTCTTGGGAACTACAGGCTTTTAGATTTTCTACTTTTATTAGCGGGAGAGCACAACTTTTCAGAGAGCGGCGAGGCAGCTTGGGTAAAAGTAGTATAGGAATTTTTCGGCTTTCAGGCTAATTTGATTACTGTCTCCATTCCTCTGACAGGGTTACACATTCGGAGTATCGAGGCTTAGCTCCTCTCAGTCCTAAAGAGGCTCATGCGGCAGCATCAGGAAGGCAACATACTATGTCACAGACGATAAGTGTGTTGTTTTGTGGTCTTATCCCCTTGATGATGCAAAGTGCCCGGCACAGTTTTCTAGCCAAAAATCCTCATAGCAGGGGTCTTACGAGCTGGTCAAGAGAATGGTGGCCGTGGAAACAACGTGTTAATAATCTGTAGAACAATGCAAAGCAAAGTATGGCAGGTAGCTAAGGACTTATAGAAGAATGTGGTGTTTCAGATTGCTACCTAAAGTCTAAAATGATGAAGAAGCACATTAATCTAGAAAAAACAGTGGGTAGTAAAGAACAGAGTTCTCATGAACGAAGTCAACGAGCTTCGTGTGATTCCAAAGTACAAACAGAGATCGGTGAGGCAGCCTGAAGAGGTAGAACTCTAGAAGTCCCTTGTGACAAAACCGGATGAATCTCGCTGTTATGATTGAGGTTGCTGATTGAAAGGACTTTACAGACAAGTTTCAGGCGAAACATTACCCAAATGTTTCTATTCTGAATCCTTCCTAATGTGTAAAAATACTGGAGGGTCGTGAAAGTCGGCGAGGAGGACTGGCCGTATGGCACAAGTAATGATGTGCAGCTTAACAAAAGAGAGTAGTCTAAAATAGAAATCTATTTTGGACGAGCTAACTTAACCGTCGTGGGTAGCCTCCATCTGGGGCTCGGAAAACCCAAGATTTATAGTTGAAACACCTCTCCAGCCTGAACGCGTAACTGTTTGGTGTGGTTTATGGTCCGGCGAGGTCATGGGACCTTAATTATTCGAAGACTGCATTGATCTGGAACACGTTTATCGATCTTTTAAGGAAAACTTTTTTTTAAATATCTAAATAACATCTTCTATTGGAAAACCGGTTATGTAAGCAGTTAGCTAGGGATCTTGCAGTAGTGACAATTCTTGTTAAATTTTCCTATCAGTTGTAGTACATTCACCCATTTCACTCCCGAAAGCATTCCCCCTCGTATTTATCGCATTTCCTTCAGTGTTGGTTAAGTAAAAAACATGCGTTTATTTTTACTGTTATTGTATGTACGTAACATACATATGTAATAATATGTAATAAAAATCAGTTATATTTTATTTCACTTGCAATAAAAATATAACAAAGAATCTTGCTAACAATTCCTTTTGGTTGCCAAAAATTATTGTAAAAAAAAAAGAAATAAAAAAATAAATTCCCGCATAAAAGCAAAATGTTTGCTGCCAACAAAGCAAATAAACTAAAATATGTTTACAATGAGACAATTGCTCCTCCGCGCCTGCCACTGGAAACAGTAACACACTTAGCGGCGACATTTCGACGCGCCAGAAAGTCTGTTCTATGTCAAGCTTGCTGTCAGCGGCGGCAAATAAACTGGCAAATATCTTTGAAATAAAAGAAAAAGTAAGAGAAATGAAAAAAAAATCAGTGTATTAACGTGCGGCAATTGGCCTACTCCAGCCGCCGCATGTATAAGCTGGCTGGCTGCCTCTCAAGTGTAAAGCCGATTAAGTACAGTGGGCGGAAATAGATGAAATCAGTGATTATTTGTAAAAGAAGACAGCAATCGGCAATTACTACACATTAAGTATTCGTTAAGACAATTAAGTGAATACGACTCGATAGATCGGTAGCCACTACAACCTAACCTAACATATTATGGAGAATAATGTTACCTATTTTAATGCCTATTAATCAAGGCTATGGGATTTGGAGAGCCTATCGCTTATGCTAGTAGGTTAGATTGTAGCTGACGCCATATTAAAATCCGCTCAAATAATCTTACGACTTGACCTTAATGAACGAGTAATAACTACCTGCACCGCGAGTCAGCCATGAGACCTGAGCTCTCTATCAGTGAATGGGTTTTTGGAATGAAACTGCCAACTATTCCATACGTAGAGCTCGAGCTGCCCCGAGAGTCCCGCATAATACTGGCCCAACTAAGATCAAAATATTGGAGTAGATAAAACTCTTACTTACCCAGACTCGACACCGAGGAGTGCCCCTATGACACTTACCACTTCTTTGCATGCCCAATAAAATCAACTTATCTAACCGCCTTTAACTGACCTGTTAGATGACCTCGATGACTTAAACTAATGTTTCCTGCTCCTAAGCGGGGTTAGCGAACCGTTATAAGAACAACAACTAATGCTAATTACCACTCGGAAAAATTCTAAGGACTAAACGAAAATCCAAAGGCAGAACACTTTAATACCTGATAGATCATTCGATATGACTGTTGACCTCCCGGAATAACGGAAAGATGAAAAGGATTTTGCTATCACCGATTTACGTCTGTCAGGTGAAGACAAAAGGTAGCGAGAGGTATTCTAACACATTAACTGACCAGTAATGTGGAATCAAGAGTCTAATAAATCAATTTTGCAGTTCCCGATGTGATTTGGCTTGAAACAAGGTGAGAGTCTTGAAGGTAAAATTCACTTACAGACCCGTTCACATAGTTTCGACGCATCAGTGCAAAAATGCGCCAGCATCGGCATACTGGCACCATCACCAACACAATCAATATTGTAGGTTTCATAACCTCAGAAAGTAGAGTTTGACCTTTGTTTGTCAGTAGATGAGCTGTCTGTGACAAAAATTTTGATATTAGGATGGAAAAGAGAGTGTCTTACATTACAACTCGACAGTTTACTGGGAGTACTACTACTCTGAAGATGACTAAATTCCTGGAAATTTTCCGGGAAGTATATATATTTTCTAATGCGTGATTTCGCACTCTTGGGTCCAAGTCAACTATTTATTTCAATATCATTTGACATTGTTACTTATGTTCTGAGTACAGGTTCTCTTAAAAGCCCCTTTTAAAAATCATTTTCTTTTTATTTATTACATCCATATTTTAACTACTTTAATACCACCGTTCCATGCCCAGTGGCAGCTAAAAGGCGACCTACTTTCGTTATGCGCCCAAAGATATGCTTCGTTGGCGTAGGAATAAATAAGAAATGTGAGGATGTACAGAAGGCAACCGAGAGCGACATTTAAGCGAAAAAATAAATGAACGCATTGCAGTGAAAACACAAGCACAAACCAAATCCATGAGGAGTTTTGGTTTGGCTCCAATGCTGCCGCCGGTCAGCCGCCAGAAAGCAGGCAGACGATAAACATTAAAGTGGAAATGTAAGCTGCCGAACTGACAGCGAAACGGCCAATATATGCATAAATATATGTTTTATTTTTATTAATCAAATTTAAGGAAGAAGAAGATTGCAAAGCGAGCTTTGGAAAGAGTAGTGCTGTAGGCTTGTGTCCCTTGACACTGACAACTCAACAAATGACGAATTGGCTGTGGGTGACAAATTCCATTACCTAAAGCGGGCAAAAAGTAAGAAAAGACAAATTGGTTTGATTAACTTTTACTGCTCGTCGCTGCCACTTCCGCCGCGTTAACGGTTGAAGTCTTAACGCAAACCTCGGCACAACATTCTCAAGTTACAAATAAAAAGACATTAAGACACCACAGTCGGACAAGTTGAAGAATGGTTAACAACAACTACAACGAACGTCAGCAAATTGGTTTTATATGTCACTTTCATTTGTCAATTAAGTGAATTTGATTTGTTATTGTTTTCGAATTATTTTCCCCCCCAACAATGGCTTTTTGGGGTCAGCCGAGTCCTGAGTCAGCGAACACATAATACAAAAAAAAAACACACAAAAAAAAAATGTTATAATAATAAAAAATAATCCGAAAAAAGAAGCGAAAATAAACGAAAAAGAAAATTACATTTTGTGTGCCAATTATTCTGTCCGATTGACCGCAACAATTGCCTGCGTCTTTGGCGAAGAAGCATAATGGAGCTTATGGGCAACACACTTAGTCATTTAGTAGCCAGAGCAGTAGCGTAAAGGGCGACGCTAAAGGAGTTGCTAGCTTTGCAGGCCAAACCACTATAATGATTACAGCAATCAATTGGTGCTTCATACTGGCATAAGTGGTGGCAATACAAGCACTTCAGATCCGTAGTGCCGCCACGCCGTTAATGTGCCTGTTGTGGCAATCTCCCCAATCGCTCACTCACTTCTTTTTTTTTTAGTATTTTGGGTAAATAAGTGGTCATTTAATGTTTACCACCGTAATTCACTATCCTGTTTACCACACTGTCATCAAGCAAATGCGATAACTCTCGCCAACATCGCGCCAAAGCGTGCGCATACCTGATTCATTCGAAATAATTTATTGCTTTGTTGGCGGTGTTGGGGTGTTGCACAGAAGTACCTATAATTTCGATGTCATTTACTTTTCGAATTTCTACACAAGTTTGCTATAAAAATACTTCGTGCAGTGTCTCTCGAAGGTAGAGTGACCAAGAAGACACGAGCTTCGATAACGGTCATAAAACAGCTATTAAAAGTGTTGTCCTCTACACGCCATAGAGCAATAAAAGCTTGCTTAATGTGGCAAAAAGAAACAAGAAAGTACAAATTTATAATAAAAAACGTAGCGTAAAAATAATAAAACAAAACAACACAAAAATTTGCAAATAGAAATTTATTCTCGAATATAAAATGCAATCTTTAGTGAGATGTGAATAGCAAAAAAGATTAATCCTTCCTGTCTTAAAGTCGGTTAAGCGAGTGGAGTTTCTTATTTATTTTCTGTTTAATAAATATGTACATACATGTATTAGTAATTGGAGCTTTGTAACCGCTGATTGGATTTTCGGCAGAGCTTTTTGTGGATTTGGGTCTTAATGTTTTTCCAACAAAGAGACAATACCTACAGTTTATAATATTTTATTTAAGTTAATTTTCTATAACTTTTAAATATTTTGACCGCACCGGGATTCGAACTCGGGCCTTCCGAATGACAGTATGCAATACTAACCACTCGACGTCCGCGGCCCCCTAGATCTAATAAAAATGAATCCACTATTTTTACCTTTTCAAAGTTATGTCCATAGAAATCCTTGCCCTATTTAGACGAACTATTTTCACAGGCTTCTCTAGAGGTAAACTTTTCATGAGCCAAATCATTTGCCAACGGATGGTCATCGCTATGGGCGAATTTCGGTTTAAAAAGTTAATGTATTAAAAGCGCCCAACAAAGCTTCCGAAACCCCTGGAAAGTCACTATCGACATTTGTGGTCTTGCGTTGTTCTTATGAAACGTAGTTCCCCTCATGTGGGCCAAACTGAGCGTTGTGCGATTACAAACACACAGGAAAGTCTTCTTGGTCGCCAATACAGGCTTGAAGACTATTTGCGCCTGCACACTGCTCTTTGACAACTACGGTTTTCACCAGGCATCATACAATGATTCGCGTTTGTTACGGGTCGGCAGCGATTCGAAGATGGAGGTTTTCTTTCGTTATTTCATGTGACAACCATATGTCGAGCCTCCTTGTGTATTCAATCTTTTTCAAGTGGCTCCAAATTGTTTTTTTGTGCAATGTGTATCCACCGTGCTATTTTGATTGCCTTCAGACGTTTAGACCCGACGACTTCCATTACTTTATCGTCATTTTTGTTCATTGGCTTTCCACACCGTGGAGCATCTTTTACATCAAAACAGACAGAACGAAAACGACAATACCCGGATTGTATATGATTGAGGATATAGGAATTATTCACATCTTCAGTGTTACGTTTTCACCTTTATCGAAGAAAAACTTTAGATTAAGGCAAGTTTTTTATTTGCTGTTGACCATTTTTGACATGCGCTCAAACACTGCTGAACTAAATGATCAATATCCAAATATTACAGAAATAATGGATAACCTTTTACTATACCACATAACTGTTAATTACTATGACGCAAAAGAGGAGCTCCTTGCGAGGACTACAAATACAAAAATCATCATAGGGGTGATCTAAAAACCTCTCAAGTTTGCTTTTAATAAAGTGAAGGTGGTCTGACGGTAAACAAAAAAGTAATAACTGACCGTTATTTTGTGACTGTGAAATCTAATTCATCAAAAATAGAAAGCTTTGGATAATAAAAACTCAAAACTTTTGCACCACAATAAAGGGTATCATTATGAACGAATTTCCTGCCAAAAATACAACAAATACCATAGAGCAACAACCGCAAACGACTACCCTCGATCATTTTATCTTTCCAAAACTCAAACTATGACTTCGAGGCACCCTTCTTTTCCTGATTGAATAGTAGAGATAACAGAAAATTCGCGATAGATAAGTTTATTATTTTTAAAGAGGCTTACCGCCCCTCCGGGTTAAGGGTTCAATAATTTACCCGCGGTAAGGTATGCCTGTCATTAAAGGCGACTAAAATTCAATAGTTCCCGTGACAGTCGGATCTTTATACCGGAACGATCCAGATATTTTATCCGGCCAAGGACTTTCACTTCCGCAGCATTCTCCCAAAATTACTTTGAGGAATATTTTTGCAGTTATAACACAACATCAACAGAGGGGGGCTTACTTTGAAGACAATCAATCCACGGAAAAGTACAAATATGTGACTAAGCTATACAGATAGACCGATCGGGTTCAAAAAATTAGTAGATTATACGAAAATAATAAGATCCGCCGAGTTAAATAGATAAGGAACAGTTTGTTACAGGAATACGCAAGTAATAACACGAACGTTAGTTCTGCTTTTACCAGATTGGTTAAGGAAACGAGGCAGAAGTGTTCAAATAACGAATAGAAGACAAAACATCTCATGTAATCTAACAAACAATCAGCACATTAATGTCTTGGCTCCCTTGTCAATGTTGACTGTTTTAACTTGGAAATTGAAAAACATTTTGTCTAGCACGCAATCAGCACCAACACAGTCTCCTATATACCTAGAAGACAATTGAAAATTGACAACCTCTCCGATGAATAGCCATGGCTTCACTTGGTATCTTCAATTTGACGTGAATAGCTAAGAGAAGAATTGAATTAGTGCGCTGTTGTTAGCCCTGGTACTTTACGGTCTTATAAACGGTTATTGCGGCGGTATTAATGTGGGACCTGTTCCGGTTAACGTAATCTAATATGGTTCGCGTCTACAAGTGAACTAACTTCTGCTTAGCTTCATGGTTGCTCATTCAAGAGTTGGGCTTTGCAGGCGTAGTTTTGTAGTATGGTTTCCGCTGGCTACCCCAATCCCACATTAATATTCCATTGCTCTTTTGATTCGTCAAATGGAGTTCTAAGCAGCCGTCGTACAAGATGTCAGTGATTTTGTGAAGTTTAAGAACGCTCAAAGCTACATAGAGATCAAACAAAAATTATTAAAAACATATCCATTTAATACAGCTGCCAGTCTAAGCAGAATTTTTCAGACTTTCGGAGTGTCCGTCGGTGGGTTTAAGCTATTGCATGTTTCCAAAAAACTGAGCTTTCAACTTAGATATATGATGAGGAGCTGTTTCTGTCTTCTGCACATCTGGTCTCTGTCAAAATAGCCCCACCGCAAAATAATAGCCGTGTCCTGCGCAGAAAAACTTTCAAGTTGCAGTGAGCTTCTACTCTACAGTCGCAATTGAGAAAAAAAAACAAGTTCTCTTAAATATTTTAAATTAAATGTAAACATGTTTACACGGAAGAAAGTTAATTTAGCGTTACAGCGAGTAATACGAATTACACAGCGCATATAAAACACCTTCTAGAATACCCTCACGCAATACTGTATACAAATAGTTCAGGTGGGTGTCTCCACCGTCTACGCCATAGAATTTATTTTTCTATAAGATATGACTAAGAGAATGTTAACTAACGCACAGGTGATTAAACGATTAAGTGTCTACAAGTCTGTGGCGATGAAATGAAGTGGAAATAGAAACCAAAAGATAGAAAAGGAAGTGTCTATGAAAGCGGGGAAGACGGCATGAGTTGAATATGTTCGTTGTTGATAGATATTTGCCGTGACAAAATGGTAGTGCGTTACACAAAACGGCCACTTCTGGTAAGTCAAGTAGATAAAGTCTAATACCGATAGTATTTCCCTTAGTTGAGTGAAATGGGAGGATTGGTATGTACAAACATACTCACACATAATTTGAACAGACAAAGCTTGTCAAATGCAGACAGTTAAATAATGCGCTGAAATTGGCATTGAAGGAGGAGGAATTTTCTAAAAGGCGAGCAGCAAAAGAAGTCAGCAGGTGACAACTATGTAATCCCTTATAAGCATGTCTAGCTTGAGGTTATGTAGCATGAATATGAAGTTGAGGCATGAGCTGTCTTATTCATAGTTCAAAAAGGCTCAGACAGAAAAAAGCCAATGTTAATACCTACAATGAAACTAACGTCCTGAGCTTAGAGGGAATTTTATTCAAATTTTAAAAAATGCACCAAAAAGATAAATATCAGGGAAAGTATTCCAATCATGGCCATAGCAAAGATGAAAATCTAGTGGCAGACCAATTCCAAGACCAAAACCAAAAACATGACTAAGATCAAGATCAATATCACGACGTAAATCAACGACCAAAACCAATACCGAAACCAATACCAAGCACAATACTAAGAGTAAGACTAAGGCAAAATCTGAGACCAAAATCAAAATTAAGATCAAGACCATGACCCATACCGTAAAAAATAGCTAGCCTGGGATTACGAGAAAGACCAAGATCACTTAGAAAAGAAAGACCAAGATTTTTTTACAAAGTTCTAGCCATAGATCAATTACACGACTGATTGAAGATCAACCGTTACACAAAGAAAACACTACGAGGAAAACATAAAGCAATCCAAAAACTGAGAGTAAATTGGGATCAGATCTAAATTATTTGTCCAAAAGCTTGAGAATAAGCTGAAAACAAATAATTTCATTGTCTTACACAAAGATATCTGAAATATTTAGGCTTTATATATTAGTGTTTTCAGAGCCGATTGAAGTCGGCGAAAAGCCTGAGTTTTTCCTAAAATGAAGTGGTCCTACTGGCATTAAGATTCATTATTCTTTGTACACACAATTATGTTTAAGTCACTTCTTCCCTTACCTTGGATCTCCCGGTGGAACATGCGTATCTGGATCAGAATTCTCACGATAACCATAACCGCCGCCGCTAGTGAGACGTTCCGCTCTTGGTTGCTGTGGTTCATCTTGATGTAGTTGACTCACCGAACGATGTGCATACTGTGGCGAGGACTCATCATGATACGAAGTCAACCCAGCATCGCTATGGCGAGCATCATCAGATTCATCACCATCATCATCAACGTCTTCAACATCTGCCGAATCATCATCATCCTCTTCTTCGTCCTCGTCGAGATCGCCGTCGTCGGACTATAGGATGGAGATAGAAAAAGAATATTTTTATATATTTTCTTATTTTTTGTTTTATTTATGGGTGTGATGAATATATAATATAATATACAACTTTCTACATTAATTATTTTTTACTATTTATATAAATGCTGTTTAAGGTTTTTATTATCTGCGTAAAGTTTAACACACTACTCACCGAAGGTCCGCTGCTGCCGAGTATAATTTTTCCACCACCATCACAGGACACTCCCGCCGAGCATTGTTGAACCGATGTGGGCTTTGTAAGTGGGTCGCATTTAGCGCTGTGTCTGCCGTCGGCTGATTTACATTCAACTCCACGCATTTGCAAGCCTTGCCCACAGGTTGCCGAGCACTAACAAAGGCCACATAATGCCAGAACGAACACAGACGAGAACAGATACAAACGTTGTGGGATGTGTATAGCCAGCCGCAGGGCATTTTTAGATAGTTTGCGTAGATGAAGATCCAAATGACAACAACCGAAATATTCCATTTTTAAACAAACATAAGGTTTTTGTTGTTGTTGAGGTTGAGTGTCGGCAAGCAACCACGCAAGTGAGATTAAACGTAAATGACACAAAATGATAAGGAATTATGAATTATTTAAACGTGTTTAGCATAAAAATTTACATAAAAAATATTCATGTCAAAAAAGAGCGTAAATATATTTATAGCTACGTGTGGCATTGTGTAAAAAATTTATGCAAATTCGTAGAGGAAAGCAACTTAGCATATGGTGAAAAATGTACCTAAAAAGTGAGCATATGTTGGGTTAATTTGAGCACCAACAATTTAATATGCTAATGATGCTTAAAATGAAGGGAAACTGAGTAGGTGTGCCTATTTTTTTTTACCGAAATTCCCTTATAATTTTAAAAGGAATATACAAGTGGACATTGATGTGTTTGAGAAAAAATTAAATAATAAAAAATAAAATGAAATAAATTAATAAACCAAAATAATAAAAAAAAAATTTATAAAATAAAATAAGTTAAATAATTTAAAATAAAATAATGTTAAGAATGGAAATAATGTAATAAAATAATAAATAAAAATATGAAATAACCTTATATAATATTAAATAAATTTGAAAAAAATAATAAAGTAAAATAAGAAAAAATGAAACAAAATAATAAGCCAACTAAAAAAAAAAATAAATAAATAAAGGTAACTAAATAATAAAATCAAATAAACATATACAAAAATTATACATTTAGATTAAAAATTAAATAAAATATAAGAATAAAGGTTTAAGATAAACTAAGAAATCAAAAATTAAATAATTAAATGAGAATAAAACAATATAAAATGGACGGAAATAATATATATTAAACCAACAAAAATAAAATTAAGAAATATATAATGAAATGAAATGAAATAAATAAAATAAAATAAAATTATTTATATAAAATAAATTAAAATAAAATAAAACCAAATAAGCAAAATAAAGTCAAAAAAAACTAAGCCATAAAAATGTGACATAATATTGTTCAATAAAAACATAAAAATATGAAATAAACTTAAAAAAAAATAAAGCACAGTAAAATAAAAAAATAAAATATTATAAAATAAATTAAAATAAAATAAAAAAAATTAAACATTAAAATTAAATACTGAAATAAAATTAAAAAAATTGAAAATAAAATGTAATAAAAGTAAAAAAATATAAATACATAAAATTATACAAAATGAAGTAATGATTAAAATAAATCAAAAACATAAATTAAATAAAATTAAATAAAACTAATTAAAAATGGAATAAAGTAAAAGATACGTAAAATAAAATACAAAAAAATTATAAAAATTGGACCAATCAAAAAAATTATAATAACAGTAAAAAATAAGCTAAAAAATGAAATATATACATATTTATATAATAAAAACAAAATTTAAATATTCAATGAAACAACAAATGGGAAATGGAAAATGAACAAAAAGTTAGATAGATAAAATTAAATAATATAAGCTAAATTAAAGAATGAAATAAATTAAAATAACATAAACCATATTAAAAAATTAATTAAAATAAAAAGTATAAAAACATTGAAGCAAATTAGAAAAAATTAAATAAGCTAAAAAAATGAAGGAAAATAAATAAACTGAAATAAAATAAAATAAAACAAACGAAAAGGAAATAAAAAAAAAAAAAATAAATAAAGTTTGATAAAATACTTCAAATAGTTTAACAAACTAATAATAAAATAAAATAAAAAATGAAAAAACTATTTAAAATAAATAAATAAAAAATTAAACAAATTTAAACAAAAAAAATTACAAAAAATACAAAAATCAAATAATTAAAAAAAGAGAAAAAAAATTAAATAACATAAAATGAAAGAAATTGATATTAACTAATGAAATGAACTAAAATAAGATAAATGAAAAAATGTATATAAGTTGGGATTCAAAAAATAAATTACTTTAAAAAAAAAAGTATAATTAAATTTAAAAAAACTTAACAAAATAAATTAAGGAATAAATATAAAAAATTTGAATATACCTCTTATTATAGTAAAATAACATATTACAATTATTTTGGATATATGTACAACTGTGCCCACAAATCAAATAAGTAAATAAGTAAATTGAGTCGTCAAAAGCTGTAGTGATGAGGGTCGGATAAGTTTTTGTATAGCACATTTGTGAGATGGGCGAGCGTATGCAGAAGAATATAGACTGCCTAGATAGTCGTAGGCACTTATGTAAAATTAAGTAAAATTTACATAAGCACCTGCATGTAACAGAGCTTTACAACCGTGTGTTTTCGCGAGGGTTAGTTGTAGGAGTTGACATGAGCCTCGTCAGGCAGTAAACGACAGTTCATCTCATAAAATGGCAACCACTTAGTGGGTGGAACACAAGTGGAGTAATGAAGGATTCACATAAAAGCTCTGTCTTGAAGTAATCAGGAGTGAATGTTTTTGAGTCTATTCAGATAATAGTAGTGGATGCGTTTCAACAAGTCATGTGCTTATAGTACAAAGTGGTATAATCTCCTTTTCTTATTAAATTTGGATAAGTTTTATAATAGCTGTTGTTGTGAGGAAATTTTCGGGATGGATAGATGGTGTTTTTCAAGTTATGACATGCAAAATGTATTGTAGTCATAGTTTCTTGCTTAAAGAAAATTAAAATAAGAGTCATGAAAGATTTAGTTATGAACGAATCAACTTAATAACTGAGATTTTACTTACACTTATGCATGAAAGTATTTGATAATTAATCTTAAACATTTTAGTCAATGTCAAAAACGGATATGTTGTGAAATATTATTTTTTTTTTTAGGAACTAATGTACCAAAAAGTATAGCAAAAACAAATCGAAACAAAACCTCTAGTCAATATAAGGCTACAAAGCAAAATTTAAGGTATGAAAGTCAACAACAAAGAACTGCAAAAAATGAAAGCCATCCAATAAACGAAAGCCTTTTCATTCCTTCAAAATTGGGTACTTTTTATTATACTACTGAGCATACTCACTTCAGCCCATTCCTCTATCTCCCACTTTGGGCACTTCTCAATCATGCAGGGCTCCTGTGTGGCTGGTTTTGGCGTGCGGCACATCACGTCCAACACCTGCAAGTGATGAATATAAAGCAAGTTAAAAAAGTAGAAAAAAGGTGAAAATTATATATACGAGAAAATTGTACAAAGTTAGCGGTAATTTCATGAAATTAGTCAAATAACCGCACAGCAACAAGAGAAAATAAAACAAAAACAAAAAACTTCTAAAACCATCCACCTACCAACGTAAAAAAAAAAATTGGGATAAATGCACCGTGGCGCAGCAGCAATTATGAGTACAATGAGGAAGGCGCTCTGCTTACGTGCCATTGATGAGCTTTTAGCCGTTCATACTGGAGAGCTTGAAGCGTTTTTTCATAGTCTTTAAATATAAAGACGGAAAGTTACTAAAGCTATAAACCGTGCTACACTTAGCAGGTATGTTTGTGAAAAATTCGGTAAGAGTAATTTTATTTTGTTTTTGTTTCTCCTTCTGTTTGGTTTTTCATTTTTGTGCGGTAGGGCTTTTGTTGTTTCTTTTGTTGATTTTTTTTGGTCGATTTTGTTACTTTATGACTCAATTTACACTTACCGTAGTTTTGATGCCATTATTTTCCTCCGCACATACCACCATACGTTCACGGTAGCCAGGACCGCAGAGTCGACTACATGGACTCCAGTCATCGGTGATCCACCTTAAACGAAATGGAATTAGTGTATTTTTTTAAAATGGAGGTTTAATGGACGTAAAACAATGTAAACGTTGGGAAAAGAAAAGATCTCGGCAGGTCTAACGGCCTGTAAATGGAGAAAAAAATTTAAAACTTCCAGAGTGCCGTAATTATGTAAATATATTTATATTTTATATTTATTATTAATATTAATATTAATATTAATATTAATACTAATATTAATATTTATATTTATATTTATATTTATATTTATATTTATATTTATATTTATATTTATATTTATATTTATATTTATATTTATATTTATATTTATATTTTTTATATTTACATACAAATACTATTGCCAATATAGTAGAAGATAATGAAAAAATAGCAGCTTACCTTGGTGGGCATATGTGCGTATTGCACAGCAGCACTGATGGTTCCGGCCGTTGTGGACCGCTGCACATGGAATCCGCGACTTCTACACCAGTGACACGGTTTCGACATATCGGCTGAGACATCTTGTAGCCTGCAGGATAAACAAAAAATAGATGGAGAAAATTGTTTTATGAAAAATAGAAACAAAATTAATTTAATATATTAATGCCACCATTGTTTGAGAGGGAAATAAATATGTATAAAATTTGCAAGGCTAAATTGTGGGAAACAGAAAGGAACCTTAAAGGTTGTTCATAATAAAAGATGCAGTGAAACTTGTTAAAACACTTTTATTAATGAAAAAATCATTTAGAAACACAAACTAAAAGATATAACAGGGAAACCTGCCGCAGAGCGAGTGACCCAAAAGTGCCAGTTTAGAGCAAAAGTTATTTTATTGCTGTAACAACTGCATTGACTACAAAATCAAATTTCCACAAACGATAATCACCAAATCAAAGCCTAAATGCTCTTTTCAACAGCTTATGCAGCTTATAAGAGTTAATAATATTTTTTCCTTTGTTTTTATTTGGCTGCCACACGCTTACTTCCAGTACATTAGTGTGAGTCGGCGTTTAAACGCTCATGCGCCGAGTCACAGCGCCATGGAACTATAAATATGAAAGTCATATTTTACATACATACATACATGTGTTTATAAATAATAACATAATTATATAACTTCTAAATATTTTCCATTTGCTACTCTTCGCCACTGTTTGTATTTTTCAAGAACTGATTTCCATTCTACAAATATTGCGTGCTGCAGGTCTTTATCATAAACACTTTCCTAATCACTTGCTCTTGACTTTGCGTTCTTGAAAACACTAAATATTTTTTATTTATTCTTTATTTTTTTGATGACATTGATTTGACCATTTCGAGTCACTATAATTGCGTGGGACGTGCAGTGTTTCTGACAGGAGCAATATGATTGATTTTCTTTCGTTTAGTCGATTAAAAACAACTTACAACCAATTAACATTTTTGCTTTTGTTGACAAATAAATAAATGTATTTTGTGAATACTTACGATAATTTGTATGACATTCTATATTTATATACACAGTTATTTATGTACATACATTATTCGCTTTGTGAACAAATCAATTATTTAATAATTTTTTATCAATGACATTTGACCAGTCAGCATTTCCTAGTGAGAGGACCTAGCAATTCATTATAATCACTTCTTAATAGTGAAAAATAAAACTATATTAAAAAAGAAATATAAAAATATTTCGTGAATTATAAGAACAATTATATTGAATTAATATCCGAGTGGCGATGACTCAAAAATATTCTGCCCGGTTATTGTTCATGACCGTTATTTTGTATTGTATTTAATCTTCCTCAAATATTCTGTAATATGATTCCGATTAAAACAAAAGCAAATGAGATTTAATAAACAAACAAAAAATTAAGTCAGAAGAAACAAAATAAAATAAATTTAAAGGAAAATAAAATTATATAAAATAATAAAATATAAAATAAAATAAAATAAAATAAAATAAAATAAAATAAAATAAAATAAAATAAAATAAAATAAAATAAAATATTATAAAACAAGTCCAAAAAAAAAAATCCAAATAAAAAATAATGTGATATAAAGCATAACACAATATAGCAAAATTAAAAGAAAAAATAATGTATACTAAAACACAATTAAATGAAATAAAATTATAGAAAACAAAAATAAAATAAAAAATAAAACACAATAAAAAATTAAAATTAAAATATATAAAATAGAATGAAATAATATTTTTTTTGTTTTACACAGAATTCATTTATTTACTGGATCTGCTAAAATATAAGCCTAACAGTAAGTGTACAAATCTTAAAAACTAAATCACAAGCATGATAGCTTGAGTTATTTAACTCTGAGCCCTACTACTACGGAGCTCTCCTTAGAAGTCGGGAACATCTCTTCGTTGCAGGCGAGATTTTCTTGATGGGTTGCATAAAGCATTAGCTTGCGGATTTGGATGATTTCTTAGCTTTGTGAAGTACCTCGTCCTGCTTCTTTCAATTTCAGGCTTAGCCAGTAAAATACCAAGGTCTTGATGAATGTTAACGTTACGAACGTGCCATGGTGGACACGTTAGTGCTCTCAAAATTTTGGACGGGAACCTCTATATTTTATCGATATTAGTTGCACAGTTGAACACCATACATCCAAATTGGTTTTGATACTGCGTTGCCCCTATGTGTCTCTTCCAAGTGAGACGTCTATCTAAGTGCATACCGAGATACCTAAAATCATTTACTTGGGGAATGTTTATACCATTTAAGCGCATTGCAGGATATGATTGCGGTCTTCAAGTAAATATAACGTGTTTACACTTTTGTTCATTAACTTTAATTCTCCAGTTTTCTAGCTATTCTTCGATCAGGAGTAAATGATCACTAATCGTTTTTGCTGCTCTTTTAGGGCATTTATCCCGGCATAGTATAGCTGTGTCATCCGCAAAGGAAGATGTCATCACTTTTCGGATTAAAGGGATGTCTGCAGTGTATTTGATATATAAAATAGGCCCGAGGACGCTGCCCTACGGAACACCCGCTTTTACCGTATACTCCTCACTTATAAATTCAGATTGTTTAATGGTAAATTGTCCGTTAGTCAGATATGACTTAAGTATCATTTAAAATTGAACAGGTAGAGCTTTATGTATTTTCTACTGTAAATCTTTATGCCAGACCTTGTCGAACGCTTGTGCTACGTCAAGAAAGATTGCACAACAGTACTCCTTGAGCTCGAATGCCTTTCTGATTTCATTAGTTATTCGGTTAACTTGTTCAATAGTACTATGCTTTTCACGAAAGCCGAATTGGTGATCTGGTATCACATTGGTACGGTGGAGAAAAAGAGATATTTTTGTTAGCAGAATTTTTTCAAATAATTTGGCAAGACTGGGTAGTGGCCTGTAAGACGCCGCCTGTGTGTGGTCTTTGCCTGGTTTGGCTGTCATTAACTTCTGCGACTTTTTCCACGCGTTTGGAAAGTAATTTAGTTTTCGAATGGCATTAAAATAATATAAAATAAAATAATATATAAAAAAGTTAAAAAAGAAAATAAAATAGTAAAATTTAAATAAAATAAAACAAGATAAAGAATAAAAAGTAAATGCAAAAATTTAAAATAAATAAAATAAAATTAATTCAAATAAAATAAAAGAAGATAAACCAAAATAAAATAAAATAAAATTAGATAAAGTGAAGTAAATAAAATAAAATATGAAAAAAAATGAGTTAAAATAAAACAAAAAAAAAATTAAATTATATGAAAGAAAGTAAAGTAAAATTATATAAAATTAAAAAAGTACATAAAACAAAACAAACAGAATAAAATGAGATAAAACAAAGCAAAACAAAATAAAATGAAATAAAGAATATATAAAACAAAGTATAATAATAAAATCAAAATAATAATATTGAACAAAACAACTAAATTATAATTAAAAAGTATAAAAACCAAATGAAAATAAAAAATAAAGTGACATAAGACAAAACTAAATAAAGCAAAAGCTGAAAAAATTTAGCAAAATAAAACAAAATAAAAAAAAAAAATTAAATAATATATATTAAAGTAAAATACAACAAATGAAAATGAAAAAGAAGATGAGTTAAAATAAAAAATAAAATAAAATAATTAAATTAAAAAAAAAACTTCTTGTATTATTCTATTTTCTATTTATGTCTCACTTTTTCACCGAAAATACTCAATTCATTTTCTACAACTGCAGATGTGGGAAAACACAATATCGATTTAGCTTGCCATCCCTACCCAATTACATTGTAACATACAGCGACCGACTTAATAACCAGTCGAAAGATCTGTACGTGAGTTATGCCACGACATGATATTGTTTCCCTCCAGCCTTCATATTGAGTTTGTTTCCAAAACTTACTCAAACATTACCAGCACTCAAGCTTACCAAGAGCTTAGTACCCTCCAGGTAAACGCGACACTTTCTGACGTTGTGCCTTATTGATAGCGTCTTCTTGCGTCTACTCCTTGACATTTGGATACAGGTGAGCAAACGCGTACTTGAAACATTTCACAGCTATTTGTTAGTCAAAACAAATCGATTAACTGCGTCATCAGAAGCTAAAATATATGCGTACATATATACACACGTACGGTTTTGACACGCAAAATTTCCATTCGAACGCTAGCAACGATGGTAGGGGTTAGAGCGCTGTGGGATTTCCAGATGAGGTTAAAGGAGGACGTGACAGAGAAACGTTAACATAACAAACTCAGCTGCGACACGCGAAATATAAATTGGCATGAGCTGAGTTGTGTTTTAGCAATTTATAGCGCTTGTTGTTAGGGTGTTATTTTGGAGTGTCTTTAGCGACATGAAAATGCGGTGAGCGAAAAATTGTAAACGAAACATCCAAAGCTAGCAAAACAACTCAGCATTTTCTCAGTACTTAACAAGCTTCTTTGCCAAATTGTCACCTGTTTACTGTTTTTCTGTTTCGTAAGCGTAAAAACAGAACCTATTATTTTAAAGATATATATTATGTGTGGATATGTATTGCTGCCCTTCATTTATATTGTTTTCATATAAATTTTCACTTACCTCCGCCACATGTCACTGAGCATTGCGTTGTTGGCGCTGTTTCCCAATAGTAGAGTGGCTGCGAACAGGAGCTGCTATCTCCACCACAGACACCACAGCTGTCTATTTTCTTCGTTGAACCGATTTTTAAATCGCAGCCGACGCGCTAGAGTGAGATAGAAACAGAAAATGAATGATTCTTGAGGTTGTTAATTTTGCTTGAAAAAGTCGCAAAGAGTATAACATTGATTCAGGCATGTTCTGTGTAAAACTATTGACAATTTCAATTTTTCTTTAATTTATTTTCGAATTCGGTTTATTTATCCTTCAGAAATAATGCGCCTAGTTCGTATGCATTATACGCATATTACATACATATTTATAAGTGTATGTTATAAGAGTTTATCACTTTACTTCCCATTGGTGCTGAGGTACAATTTATTTCTAAAACTGCAAAGCAAAAATCAAAACACACCATAAAAAATCTTGTGCTTCCCTTGAACTACTCACGACAAGGAAATAAATTTAACTCATCTAAAATTCTGTTATTTATGTACATATATTATATGTGCCTGGTTGAAGAGTGAGTTCGTGCGAATCCAAGGAGATTCCATAAAAGTTTCCGCACATTACTTTCACTTAGTAGCGCTGTCAAAAGCAAGTGATTTCAAACTTCAGAAAAGCATTGTATGTATGTACACATATGCGTATGACATTGATACACATTTATATGAATGACGAATGTTTCTGGAGAATACATATATGTGTATGTACTACCATATACAGGCATTTTTTTTATCATATTTTTGTTATGTAAGGTGTTTGTAGGGCAACCAACCACTTGAAATCTACACCATACATTTCTGCTGCGAACAAAATAAAATAATATAGAATAAAATAAAATAAAGAGAAAAATATAAAAAAATAAAACAAAATAAATTAAATTCAAAAAAATAAAATAAAACAAAAAATATAAAATTAAATTAAATTAAAAAAACAATAAATAAAACAAAATAAACAAAGTTAAATAAAATTAAATCAAATAAGAAGAAATTAAATGAAATAAAATTAAAAAAAAATTAAATTAATCAAACAAAAAAAAAACAAAAACAAGAAATAAAATTATAATGAAAATAAAATTAAATAAAATAAATTAAATTAAATAAAAAAAAAAAGAAAAAAATTGTGAAATATATAAAAAAATAAAATTAAGTAAAAAAAAAATAAAATAATACAAAAAGAAATAAGATTACAAAAAAAATGAATAAAAATTATATAAAATAGAATAAAATAATATGAATAAAAATGAAATTAAATGAGATAAAGTTAAGCAAAATAAAAAAAAAAAAAAAATTTAAAAAAAAAATAATTTAAATTAAAATATAAGAGCATAAAATAAAATTATATACGATAATATAAAAAACTAATATAAATCAAAACCAAATAAGACGCAATAAAATAAAAAAAAAGTAATAAAATATGATAAAACAAAACAAAATAAAAAGAAAATTGAATAAAATAAGATAACTTGAATTAAAATATAAGAGCATAAAATAAAATTATAAAGGATAATATAAAAAGTGAAATAAAATAAAACTAAACCAAATATGATACAATAAAATATAAAAAAATTAAAATGAAATAAAACAATATTAGTTTAAATTAAAATATAAGTACATAAAATAAAATAATGATATAAAATAAAAAACTTAAATAAAATAAAACCAAATAAGATGAAATAAAATGAAAAAAAAATTAATTTAATAAAAAAAGATAAAGTTAAGCAAAATAAAAAAATTAAATAAAACAAAATAACTTAAATTAAATTATAACTAAATCACAAAAATATATATGAGCTAATATAATAAATAAAATGTAGGAAATTAAAATTAAGCCAAATATGATGCAATAAAATATAAGAAAAAAAAAATTAAAATGAAATTAAACAAAATAACCTTAAATTAAAATATAATTTCATAAATTAAAATTATATGAATTAATATAATAAGTAAAATGTAATAATTTAAAATACAACCAAATATGATTAAATAACATTAAAAAATAAATAAATAAAATAAAATAAGATACAATTTGGCAAAATAAAATATAATATTTTTAATTTAAATATAAGTAAATAAAATAAAATAATAAAAACAAAATAGAATAAAATTAAATAATATGAATTAAAAAAATTAATTTTAAAAATAAGTCAGAGTTATGCACAAGAAAAAAAAATAGAAAAAAAATAAAAATTAAATAAAACAAAAAAAATATAATTATATAAAAAATAAAGTGGAAAGTTAAATTTAAATAATACTATAATAAAGTAAAATTAAATAAAATAAAATAAAGTAAAATAAAATAAAATAAAGTAAAAAAATTCAAATAAAATAATGTGAAATAAATTTGATTCAAGTGAAATGAAATGAAAATGTATAAATTAATATAAAACAAAACAAGATTAATTAAAATGAAATTGAAATGATTAAAATAAAATTTAATAGCACGAAATGAAATGAATAAAATAGTATAAAATAACAATAAATTAAATTATTACATATTAAACTAAAGAAATTAATATTAATTAAAATGAAATTATATTAAATTTAATCAAAATTAAAAAAGTGAGAATGAATTGAGACAGAAAGAAGTAATTTAAAGGCTCACCAAGTTTGTATGTTATATACGTTATACAGTGCCTTTGACAGTTTTTTAGTCTGAGTGCTTAACAAAACTTCACTTGCAATGTTGGGTGACTTGAAGTTGGTATGAGATATATTTATAGCCAACCCCACAAACACAACTAAATGTGTACAAACGAAACTTAGATCGATACAAAATTATATATCCATATCAATTCGAAAAGAACAAAGGCAATACAAAATGGATAGTCCAAAAAAAAAACAACAATAGATGAGGAATGAAAATAAAAATTCAGTAATCACTAACAATAAAATCGTTTCAGCGCTCGTAACTTTAGTAAATAGAAGCCACATATATGTATGTACATATATTTATTTATCCCTCGAACTTGGATTTAGGAATCGGCATCACCGCAGACTCGTAAAATAGTCATTGCTATTAACAATAGAATGAAAATAAAAACAAACATGATTTGAAATAAAAGAGAATAAAAGAAATTACAAAAACAAATACAACGGCGCACACAAAAAAAAAGCTCGCTAAAATAAATTACTTGTCATCACGTCATTTACGACGTTGTTACTGTTGTTACTGTCAATAACTGTAGTTAAACTTTGAGTGAGTTTTACTATTGCTCAAGCGTCGTGATTTAAAAAGCTTGTGTCTCAGTTGGCATTCGAAAAGTTTTCAATTAATTTTTTTTTTTTTTTTCAATTTATGCCCACACCCAAAGGTAATTTAATATTATTTGCATGCCATGAAGTGTTTTATAATTTGATAGTTCAAAATATTTATTTTAGTTCCCCTTACCTGGCATTTACCCTGTATGCACATATCAAGACTGCCCGTTCGACAGCGTGTGCCGTCTTGTACGCGCGCTGAAAGCTGCACGATCACATGATCGTCATAATGTTCGGGATCTTCAACACCTTCAGCTTCGGATGATGAACTATCTCCCAGATGTAGATGAGCCGGACGGCCTCTGGAAAATTTCAAGGAAAATATATGTATACAAAAAGGGAAAAATTTTTTGCAAATTTGCAGTGAAGTAGAAATCTAGGCTGCTGGTCTCTCATTTCCCTCATCTATTTACGAATTAAATGGTAAACAAAATCAAGAACTCTTCTATAAGCGGCTGCTCATTTGAAAGACGTTTCAAATAATTTTTAACACATTTTTAAGGCGACATTTTCGTGAAGTATTTATCTCCTTGTATTATCGATTTATTTTCTTCACGCGAAACCAATTTGAAATTATAATAGAAAACATAGTTCATTTCAGGCCATTCACACGAAAACTCTCATCGAGAGAGAGAATATCCACTTCCGTCCAGTAACCGCAAGCGCATCTCTAACCTATGGGTCGTGTTAATGCCATAAATTGAACTTGCTTTGTGTACGCAGTGACTCATGTACCGTTTCACTGAACACGGACAGTCACGAATGCCATGCGATGCGGCTGATCATAAATTACAACTAACTGACATTCGATTTCGGCACAAAGGAAACAAAACAAAGAAATAAAAAAAGGTTATAGCTGAGGAAACTAACACATGAATTCGTGTGGTTATTCCTACCAATACCCTTATCTTCCGATGCTCATAGGTAAAAATATTTGTTCTATTTTGCTTTCACAACCCACCTGCACGTTAGCGCACACGGCTCTACATAGTCATAGTGTGGCGTCCACGTGTAGAGCGTACCATCGTACGGTACATCATTGTAGGCGGCACATTGATGCGCCCGAAAGTCTTGTTGCTCCGGACAAGGCTGCATGTTGCAAATGCGATAGCGTACGCTCTCGCCCTTACAACCATTTTTATTATAGCAGCGGCGTATTTGTTGCATTATGCCGCCATCGCAGGTACGTGAACACGTCGACCACTCCGACCAGCCAGACCATTGGCCATCCTTACTGCCCGTTGACGATGATGACGTCGCTGATGATGAGATGCCGCTGCTGCTACTGCTTTTGGCACGCTTTTGCTGCAACATGCACTAAATTAATATGGGAGAAAAGACAGCAGAAACAACAAAAAAAAAAGGCGAAAACAAAAAGCAGAAAAGAAACAAAAAAACAAAGAAAAACACAAAATACTTATATAAATGAGGAAGTACCATACTTAAGGCATCCTCCAAATAAACTAAGCAAACTAATTATATATGTTTGTACTGTAATCGCTTGCAACTAACCTACAAAAGAACATTAAGTCGGCAATAAGACAGGCAAGTATATTGAGTTAGTATTAGCGATTCGGGTTGAACATACATACGTTACAAATAGTTAACTTTTTAATTGATATTGGAGATATTGAATTTGAATGCTGTTTAGAAGAGTGTTGTCAAGAAAATAAGAAAGTCGAACAAACCAGATATATGCCAGTTGCCATGTCCTTTTCATAGTCAGTTGCTAAAGATTACAGTTTGTGCATTATGAGTAGTGGCGTAAGCAGAATTTTGGATTGTATATATATATAATATATAGTAGGCAATTTACTCCTCTAATTTGTGAAATGAGTCTTGGTATTTTTTCTACAAATGAAGGGACCTACAGCCGCCTCCGAATGACTGAAGGATTTTTATAGGGAGCTTTTTAGTTCTTGTCCGATATACACTAAAGGGATTGACATTCTCTGTCGGGAGAGCGACGGCAAATAGAAAAAATAATTTTCAAGAGTTTCAAGAGACTTAATGAATGGCTATCCGAATGTTTGACAGTTTGTGTTAACCCCACAGAATTGAGTAACCATGGATGCATTATTTGTTTTTCACTTATTTCTCTTTAATATATGCAGTGGTAAGTAAGTCTCTTCCGCAAATGAATTAAACTTCATTACCACAAACTGACACCTTATCTTGAGGAGCTTTAATTTTCATGTCTGAAATACACTCGAAGGGCTTGACAATCCGTCCCGAGATGTGACCGCATTTAGAAAGATTGATTTTCAATAAATTTTGATGTTATTCGTACCAGGACTCGACCCCTGACCTTCAGAACGACAGTTCATTATGCTAACCACTCGGATATCGCGTCCGCAACGTGTTATATACAATGTACCGATTTCACCAAGGTCGAGTTGCATTTAACCTCAGGCCGTTGCAGGTCGCTTAAAGCTTACCGTACAGATGTATCATCTAATGAGTGAAGAGAAAAAGATCTTCGTGGGCTTTCGTATTAGTGGCAGAGAGCGCTTCTGTTTTGAGCAAGCAAGCTGTTCGTTAAACTTCTTCCAGTTTAGTTTAGAAGTGAGTTTTACTAAGAACGGTTATCAAAGTCTGGCTCGGTAGACAAAATTGATCTTATTTATTATTGCTTTTTTCAAGAAATATGTAAAAAAAATATATAAATATAATGTTTCACTAAGAGTCTTCTGAATAGATTGAAGTGAGAGCGTTGATTAACCAAGAAGCTATGTGGAAATATCTCATTAACGCCGAACATAATTTCGCTCTTTTGTGGAATTAATAAATTTAAGATAGTGTGAAGGGCAGAAAGCTCACAACCGCAGGGGTATTCTGCTTCTCCGTTTAGCTCGCCTCCTATAAGGATATTTGTTGGCTACCCAAAAGACACGACAGATGCTTGCACTATATGCAAAAGTATCGTTTCTGGTCACTCCCGTGTGAATGACAGTCAAAAACTTTCCTCATATGACCCCATCATCCCAGAATACCCATTCCATCCTGCTGTGACCATTTATTTATTGTTCAACATTTTTTCAAACTCAAGTGAGCTGCATTAAGAAGCCTGTTCATTAGGACGCACATCTTTTTTCTGGTAGAGTCAGGAATAGCAGAGCTTTTGCAAAAAGTTTTTTGGGTCTACTTTCTGCTTCTGTTGCTTTCAACATCGGCCTATTCCTAGTTAGCTGCGTTTAGTCTCCTTCAGGAAAAAAAAAACTTGTTTATGTCTGAAATCCAACTGGTTGGCATTTTTCATCAATTTTCCCATTTTAGGGCAAGACGATGTCCAATGAGGTGTCAATTATCCGAGTATGCATGAACATCTTATGCTGCAACTACCCATCTTACATACCTTCCGTCTATAGCAACCTATCTTATGAGACAATATCTCCTGTTATCAAAAAAAAAAAAAAAAAACAGTCATTGCATTCGTGACTCGGCCCTCACGTCACTGTTGACAGTGATAACTTCGAAATCGCTTCGGCAACCATTGAATCAGTATTAACCCCAACAACAATATCAGACTGGAAGTCCCGCGCGGAATCATCCTTGCCAATAAGTTCTACTTTGGTAGATCTTCTCTCGACGAACAATGTCCAAACATTAAAATTCGCTTATCATTCAAGTCCTGTTATTGTATATGGTGCGGAGACAAGGACGATGACAACATTAATAACGGCGATTAGCGGAGCCGTTGAAAGTTCGAATGATGAGCTGTACGAAATGTACGACGACATTGATATAGTTTAGTGAGTCAAGAAACAGCGGTTGCATTGGGTAGGTCATGTGGTCCGGTTGGATACTAATACTCTAGGTTTGGATGTTTCCGATGCAGTACCAGCCAGTGGATGCAAGGGGAGAGGAAGTCCTTCACTCAGTTGGAAAGACCAGGAAGAAAAGAATCTAGCTGTACTTGGTTTCTCCAGTTGGCGTCAATAGCAAAAAGAAGAAATCTTGTTAAGTGGGCTTTAATCACGTGAGCAGTACCTATGCCAGGAAAGAAGGAGGAAAATACATCAAGAATATGATGTCTCAAAGGCTGTGTGACAGAGTGTTTCATAAATTTTGGATGGGCCCAGGTCATCTAGAGTAACAGGCTTTCGCCAATTCTTGGAGATAAGTCATGGTTATCGTGAGTAGATTTAGGGAAACATTGATTTTTGCAAGACCAAAATAGAGACACATAACAAATTAGCTTATTGTTTAACCTAAATTAAGGTGGGTCAGATTTCCATTAAGCCGATCTTACACTCAGGACTCTGTTACGCCACTTTTCTACTAAAAAAGAAACAATAACTACATTTATACAAGCCTTAATATTATTGAACAAGTTTTTTACGAAAATATTTTTCTACTCACTTCGAGTTCATTCTCCAAATCGGAGGCTGTGTTCCACGTATCATCGAATGCTTGACTGGCATTCAGACGTTTCGCCACCGATGCGTTCCCAATGAAAATTGTCATCTGAAAGTAAAAAAGAAGAATATGAAAATAGGCCAGATATGGAGTAATGAAATTAGAAAGAAATTAAAACAAGAATAAGAAATTTGTTTTTTGCTTAAAATTAGACAATATTAACATTTAGCTTTAACCAGCAAATTCAAATCAATATGCAGTACTAGATGCAGACATATGTACTGAGCATACTTACACACAAAAGTGTACATATGAAGTTTAAGAGCATGAATAGAGCACTCCAGAACCCACTTTTTATGGCATTTATGAGGCTATTGCGTCATTACCGTCACAGTTATTGGACTGTGCTACACTTCTTCTCATTTTGAAACGATATTTTTTCTTCTTTCATACTGTTGTTGTTGAATTTATTTTTGTTGTTGATTTTATTTTTGTCATTGCTACATTTGTTGGCTTTTAAATAATTGATTTTTGTCGTTTGCTGTCACTCATTCAGTCAGTCAGTCAGTCAGTCAGCCACTCTGAAGGACAGTCACGTTGCTGCCATTTAAAATGCAAAACGACCAAAGCTGACTTAAAGGCAACGGTAACGGTAACAGCAATCTAAACAAGGATCTGAAGCTGACGTTGGACCAAAGTTGTTGAAAGAAGCATTCGAATGCCAGCGGAAGCTCGGCCAGCAACAGCAAGGTAAGTGTTTTTGTGGACGCATTTTAATGCCAAATAAAACCTTAACCCCGCGTCACCGGCTGTCAATGTTGCATATAACGTGCTATGGAGGAATATAATGTAAAGCCAAGACAACAACAACATTTTAAAAAAGGGTGAAAGAAAAAACTAAGGGTTGGGAATAGAGTTAATGGCAGGTGGTTGAGCCACAAATGGAAGCTGGCTGATGGCATCAGCTTATGAGAATTATTTTCGGCTTTAGCGAAAATACCTTTATAGCGATGTGTATATATATATATACATATGTATGTTGCACTTACACATATGTGTATATACATACACACCAAACACAAAAAATATATGCAAATGTGGCTAAACAGATGCCAACTGTGTACATTAGTAAAGTGAGGTGAAATTGCTTCGAATTTCTCTTCACACATACAAGCAGATATATAATATCTTTTTATGTATTTGTTCATTATTGTGATTACTTATTATTGTTGTTGCGCCATTGTTGGCTCTTTCCTGTATTTTCAGCTGTTATTATTATTTTTATTGTTATTGGTATTGTTTGTACCTAACTCTGATAGACAGTGATGCTTGGGGAATTGGGCTTTTGTTTCTATTTCTGCGTCTATCTTCTCCTTTTTTCTGCCAGCTCAGCTGTCACAGCTGTCAGTTGATTTTGTTTTTTGCCAATTTCCGGTGATTAATGTTGAAGGCGAAAGTACTTGTTGTAATGAGGTTAAGCGTATTACAGAAATATATGCTAAAAACGTAAAAAATATTTGGAATTTACATGAATAATCTCGAGCGGCAGAAGACATAAATATAAAATAAAAAATAAAAAAATAAAAAACCAGACTTTCAGAGAATATTGGAACACCATTTCTTATTACCATTATTTTTGAAGTACTTGAGTAATGCTTGTAAAGAAACGTAAAATTATTTTCAAGTTGACCTCAAAGTTATCAGAAAAACCACTTCTCTCTTTTCATTGTGAGTTTCATGTTCGACTTTTATATTCAAGTTTCTCTTTAACAATCATTCTTTACCTTCTTTCTACTTGAAACATTTTTCATAGATTAAATTCTGTCCTAGTTTCTAGAGCCACTGGTAAAAAGGTAATATCTCTCAAAGCTCAAAGGATTCTGTCGGTTTTTGGCATCCAGTGCTACGTTGGTATTAATACGAAGGGTACAAAAAACAAATATATGTAAATCGCTTCAATAATCAATCTCAAAATAGTCTCCATTAAGATCTACACAATTTTGCATGCTCTTGAACCAACTGTCGAAGCACTTTTGCCACTCTGACTGAGATACCTCCAAACAAGCATTCTGAACGCACCAACCATCTCTCAGGTGTCGAAAAAGGTTGATCTTTAAATTTATTTCTTACGTCCGGTTATTAAAGGAGCACATTCGGTACCAAGTAACGACTATACAGCGGATGACTCATGAAGTCAGTGTTTTGAGTGCTGAAAAATGCATTTGTTTCAGTCGTTGTTAGAAAGCTCGCATTGTTGAAAAGTAAAGTCCTCTCCCGATGAACGAAAACCAAGCTCTACAAGTTCTTTATCGTTGCCGTCTTGTTATATGGTGCGAAAGCATGGACGATGACAACATCTGATGAGTCGGCGTTAGGAGTTTTCGAGAGAAAAGTTTTGCGTAAGATTTATGGTTGTTTGATATTGATGTAGTTCAGCGAATCAAGAAGCAGCTTGAAAGTTGTCGATACACTAACCGCCTGTGGAAGCAGAGGAAAAGAAAGACCTCCTCTCCGTTGAAAAGATCAGCTAGAAAAGGAACCGGCTATACTTGATATATCCAATTGGCGCCAAACATAAAAAAGAAGATACGAATTGCGCAATGTTGTTAACTCGGCTATAATCGCGTAAGCGGTGTCTACGCCAGTAAAGCAAGTAAGTAAGTTCATGAAAAATTCCCGGCACCAGCGAATGACTATGGTTGTCTCAATCTCACGACAGGTTACATGACGATCTTCGATATCAGTTTGCGAACTCGGCTATAATCGCGTAAGCGGTGTCTACGCCAGTAAAGCAAGTAAGTAAGTTCATGAAAAATTCCCGGCACCAGCGAATGACTATGGTTGTCTCAATCTCACGATAGGTTACATGATGATCTTCGATATCAGTTTGCGAACAGCGTCAATAGTATTCGGAACAAAAATTAAATGTGGACGACTTTTACGAAACTCATCTTGGCGTTATGTCTATCTTCATAGATGATGTCAATCAAATTTACACACAAAGTTGCAATTAACCATCAAACAAAAAATAGCACGACAAATACTTACGTCTAAGCCATACATATCCTTGTCGTTCAAATTAAACACTATAACATTTATTATGTCCTTGGTCGGATAAAAAAATCCGGATCTTCTTGGTATAAACACCCGACTCTCGCGGGAACTATTGGATTTTAGTCGCCTTTTACGGCAGGCATGCCTTACAGCGGTTAAATTCTTGAATCTCTAACTCGCAGGGGTAATTATTTATTATTAATGATTCTTGGTTTATTTTCATGGAAAATATATTCTATGTATAACACTTATATTTCCAAAAAGATATTTAGGCGAATCGTATCAGAAATAAACTTTTTGTGTCACATAATAAATTTTATTCATCAATCCCATGAAAGAAAAGACTTTCAAGGAAGACGAACTGCACAACATGTTTTTAAGAGATTAACTTCAGGTCAGCTTTTCGGCATGAAAAGAATTTCAAACACTTCTGCAATTGGGCCGGCATACTCTTTCCAACATTTTCGGCCGGTATCTCACGAATAAATGCTTCAATGTTGTCCTCCAATCCGTCAACTGAAGCAGTCTTGTCTGCACAGACATTAGATTTAACATAGCCCCACACAAAATAGTCTAAAGGCGTTAAATCACAGGTTCTAGGCGGCCAATCGAACAGTGAACACGTGAAATAAAGTGTTCACCGAACTCGTCTCTCAATTAGTCCATTGTTACTCGTGCCGTGTGGCATGTGGCACCGTCTTGTTGAGACCACAAGTCATGCAGCTCAAGCTTTTGCCTTTTAGGCAAAAAAAAAGTTTGAAATCCTCTCACGACAGTGCTCACCATTCACAGTTACGTTACGATTCGCATTATCTGCGAGGAAGTACGGTCCAATGATGCCACCAGCCCATAAACAGCACCAAACTGTGACTTTTTTGAATGCATTGATAGCTCTTGCAATGCTTCTGGCTGATCTTTACTCCAAAATCGAAAATTCTGCTTATTTACGCACCCATTAGGCCGAAAATGAGATTCGAAGCGCGCTCGGAACGATGAATTTTCTTAACAGAGCACAGTTTTTGATAATAAAATTCAATAATTTACAAGCGTCATTCGCTTGTTAGACGATTCATGGTTAAATTAAAGAGCAAACTGAAGATGTTTAACGGTGATACGAAACACGAAACGTGCCTCAGCTATTTAAACCAGTGTTGCCAAAGAGATAATAGCTAAAAAATCACACTGTATACAAATATATTATTACGCAATTATATCGATCTCCGATCAATTTTGTGAAAAAAAATACATTCAAAGCACTCACTCCATAAATATGTTATCTGAATATGTACATTGGTTCCAGGTCTACCTTTAGTAATGCAAAGAATTTGAGAGAAATCTGCATGCACTTTAGTTTCGGTTTTCGGTTTCTGTTTCGGGTCTACTTATCAGAAGAAAAAATTCTTTACTTGTTAATTTAAATAAACAAAAATTAAACTATCCAAGAGCCTGAAGGCGCTGAGAACAATAATTTACTTTTTAATATTTTTTGATTTATACAGAAACTGTGACAAGTAAAAATCTGTACCTTCCATCATGGAAGCATCTCGTTGGTACCAACATTTTCCCAAGTCTTTACCGTTATGTGTATTTTTTGGCCATTTATTTGGAATAATATAATTGGATCCCAGACATGTTTAACCCAAACAGTTTGTTATACCTGTTTTTTTTTTTTTGCCAAGTAACTTGACTACCTGGATTTTCTTTTGTGCGTGAGGTACGCTGGACTATTGTTACATGTGTTATATAGAACACCAAATGTAAAAATAATACTTTATATTTCATTATGAAGTTTATATCCTTTCCACTGCCATAATTGCTATTGAGCTCTCACAATAAATTGACACTCGATTTACCCACTAATTGACCAATAGCCACATGAAATCATTTTTCACGTTACAGTAATTGATAATTATTATGCAAGAGTAACGAATTTCCGTAATGACGAAGTAAGGAAAATGTGTGAAGTGGAGAGTAAAAGCTTAACAACTTATCTTCGTAAAAAATAATAATAAAAAAATAAATATAAATAAATAAATTCCGCCACTTTTCAATTC